CACAGACTTTCTTGTGACGCATATTCACAAAGAAAACAATAATAGCAACAGTAGTAGTAAATACTGATAAAAACAGAAGAAAATTTAACTTTAAAAAAGAACATGGTTCAACATAGTGCTTCTTCCCTTCTTTCTGTAATTTGTAGCTAGAGGCCGTCTTCCTCCCCCAAAATATGCCCAGATTACATCAGATGTCCTCCAAACTGCCCACAAGGTCTGCTGAGGCACACATCCCATCAATATACTAGAGTTTTGTATATTTTGAATCTGGAAAAACAGTTGCGTTAATACTAGTTAGGTTAGATATGCTTATTAAGAGGGCTTATTAAAAGTCTTCTAGATTTTACTTAACTATAAGCCCAGTCTGCAGCTGCCAAGAAATCTTCATTCATTCATTCATTCCTTCAACAAATGCTTACGGAGTTCCTCCAATGTGGTAGCCTATATCAGCTGCAAAACCCCCCTGTGGGGGTGGGTACAAAGACAGAACGTGGCATGACATGTAATCCCATAGGTGGCAGGTGGCCTGCGTGTTGGGCGTATAGGTGCTGGGAGAGCATAGTCGAAGGACAGATGACCCACTGCCCACAGAAGGTGGGGACTCCTTGTACAGGAGGTGATATCTGACCCGAGTCCTGAAGAGAGCACATGGGCCAGGCAGAGGGAGACTGGCAGTGGGGATACAAACACTAAACTCAAAGATCTGATCTAACTTGGCACATAACTGTTATGGAGGGAGGGAAAAGTAGAGATGAGAAGAAAAAGGTTGGTTAAGATCTGCGTTTGTTAGGCTGATGGTTAGGCATCCTTAACACAGACTAATAAGAGAAGTAAGGGGTTCTTTTTCTTCCATGTAGAAGTCTGGTTCATAAGAGGCCTAGGGTAGCTCTGCTTCTTGAATCACCAGAGACCCAGGTTCTCTCTCTCTCTCTCTCTCTCTCTCGTTGCTCTAAGGTGTTCTTCTACCATGTGACCTACCACCACACCACCACATTGTAGCCTGTGAAAAGGGGAAAAGGACAAGAGGAGGTGGAGGGCAACAGTGTCTGTTCAAGGACATGACCCCTAAGTTGCACATCTCACTTCCATTCCTGACCTCTTGGGCAGAACTTGGTCACATGACCATACCTAGCTGCAAGAGAGACAGAGGAGCAGACTTTATGGTGGCCTTGTGGCTGGTTAAAACGTGGGGGTTCTGTTCTAAAAGGAAGATGGGAGACTGGTTATTTGGGATCAGATTACCTCTGCTACAAGGCCAAATCTCAAAGGCTATTGTATGCCACCTCCAGGATTTTAGAGTTTATCCTGATAGTAATAGGGAGCCATTAAAGTGTCTTCTGCTGGGAGGATACACAATGAAGATGAGTGTTTTGGAAAGCTTACTCTGGGCTTTGTGGGGAGTGGATTTGCAGTCCATAAAGAACATCCCACCTGACTCCAGGGGGTAGACTAGATGGAAGCTAGAGGATGACAGAGTTCAAGCACATCTTCCTAACGAGACAACCAAAAAACCAAAAAAAAAGCAAAACAAAACAAAAAATAATGGTCTGTATTTACATAAACATTAGCGGTACAGTTGGGAAAATGTTGTAGAATCTATTCAAGCAATCTAATGTGTATTTGATTCATTCCTTCAAAGAATTGTGTGCACCTGCTCACCAGGAGGTGTGATTCTAGATGCTGGGGGTATGGCAGTGAGTAAGGAGAGGCTCTACTCTCCCAGAGCTCATTCTCCGGAGAGGAGAGATGTGTAGCCAGCTACCAAACAGATCACAAAATGGTTTCAGATAGTGATAAGTTCCAGATAGAAGGACCAAAACTGTCAGATTCCTGAGGCATAGCAAACATAGGGTCAGTGGCGCTGCTAGAGTGGCTAAACGGGGGGGGCAAGCATGGGGTGAGTTGTGGCAGATGAGACTGGAGGGGCTGACAAAGGCCTGGTCACATAGGATTTGGGGTTTTGTCTTAAGAGCCTGTAAAAATGGTGTGGGGGTGGTTTCTGACCTCCTCTAACTTCACAAGGAGGAAGGAGAATCAAGATCAACAGCCCGAGGCTGATTCCTATGAGGTGGGGGTCAGACATGCCTCCTCTCTCCACCATCTTTACCAATTCTGACACCAACCGCCCCCCCCCCCCCCACAGCACTCTCTACTTCTCTGCTGGTTTCAGTAATTCACTGCAATGGCCACACAGAACTCACAGACAATACTCACAGTTATGGGGCTTATTAGGGAAGTAACAGTTTACAATTCAGGTTCAGGAACACTCAGGATACAGTTCTTCCATCAGGACAGCCTCTTCCCAACCAGAACGCCTCTCTCTGGCCCTTGGCCTCTGCCCTGCTGTGGCAAGTGTTACAAAGCTCTTTTAGCTCTGCTGTTGAGTGTGCCCCAACACACCTCATTCTGCCAGTAAGCCTCCTGCCCAAGGCACTCAGCTTTCTTGCTCCATGGGCCATTTCCTGCTGGTCTCTTCTGCTGCAGTTTCTCTGTCACTGCTTCTTGCCATCTTCAGTGTTATAGCTCTCTCTCTCTCTCTCTCTCTCTCTCTCTCTCTCTCTCTCAGTCTCCTGGTTCCAGGAGCTTCTCAGCACAGGGATCTTGGGTCCTTGTGCTCTGCTCTTGGCTGTTCTTCCTTTGTGGTGATGAAATCTTCTTTTTCCGCTTCTCAGATGGCTCATTTTAAGCCTAGTGGGATGGCAAAACTGACCAATCCCCTCATTAGGGTTCCATATACCTTATTAGCATCGTCCCAGCCAATCATTTGTTGGGAGTTACAAGACCATAGCAAGAAAGGCCACACAAAAGTAATCCATCGCACCACAGCATCACGAGAAGCCATTGGGTACCTTTAAGCAGCAATGGAATTGGACCTGCTCAGTGTTTACAGATCGTCCATCCGGCTCTGCATAGAGAATAGGTTGCAGAGGCTACAAAGGTGGATGACTGGAATGCATGCTCTTCAGTGTAAGGTTGCTTCCCAGGTGGGGCACAAAAAGTGTAAACTAAGGCCTGTCTTCTTGGCAGTGTTCCTCAAAGTGGAGTCCAAGCACTACCCTGAAGGTGAGGTCCTGAGCCCATTTCAGACCTGCTGAGTCAGAACAGTCCTGTCTCCTGACATCCTGTCTCCCCTGGTATTGAGCTACTCAGTTGTGGTCCTTGGCCTCAGTATCTGCACTGAGTAGGTTAGAAATGCACAATCTCAGACTACACCTAGACCTCCTCCATCACAATATGCACTACAGCAAGGTTTCCAGGCAGCTTATGTGCACATTAGAGTTTGAGAAGGCCAGTGGCACACACTCTGGTCAGGGTATTTCCTGCCCTCTCTCTAACCATACACGTGCACACTCACGCACGCACACACACGCATGCGTGTGTGCATGCTCATGCTGAGTTGCTGCACAAGATGCATGCTCAGTGCCAGTGGTCTGTGGACAGGAAGTTTGGGTGAGCTCAGAAGTTAGAGATTCCTGGAGGAGAGGGCAGGTGTGACACGATCTAGATGCTGAGTTTGAAATCTAGAAACAAGGAACCTGTGGAGGTGCATTTGGTGGGAGACCGCTATGTGCAAATTGAAAATTAGTCTGACAGTGATGGCCAAGACATTGCAAATACAAGAAGCAGGAAGACCCTCAGTAGCAGACATGTCAGCAGAGAGCTCTGTGTGATGCGTGATGCTTGTTTTGTGTATTATTTGTTACTCTCCCCATTCTCCATAAGTATCTATTATTTTCATAACCAAGATGAAAAAAACAAAAATCCTGTCTAGGCTCAGTGGTAGATGGCCTGGCACTGGACGGATAGTGAGACTAGAAGGGGCCACCATGAGAAACACGAAGAGAAGGCCACCAGACTCCTAGGGGCAACTCCTGCTTGTTCTTAAAATTCCATGTGAGCATCACCTCCTCCTGGAAGACCTCTGGATGAATGTCTCCCACCTCCTCCCCTTGGGCCTCATTAGCACATAGCCTGGTGCCTGGCATCAAAAGATGCTCAGCAGATGCCTGTCAAAGGCTGAAGGATGGCGGAAATGGGTAATGGACGATCGGTGCTGCTTCCAGGGATGTTGGGGTTTTGAGTGGCAGCCAGTGTGGAGGAAAGGTCTAAAGGTGTTTCTGGCTGTTGCCAGTGTGTCAGCATGGTAGGGGGCGTCTCGGTGGTAAAGCAGCAGAAGAAAGGCCAGGGCTGGGAACGCAGATGGCTTTTTATTTCACAGGACTGGCACTGATCCCTCTCTGCAGTGCCATGTGACTGATCAACCACTCTACACCCTTGCGGCTTAGGCCGCCAGGGGCTTCTGGAACCAGATTTGGTTGGATGGGTAGACTTGAGGTCTGGCTCAGTCCTGCTCCTGCCCCTATTTTATTTTTGGCCGTGGTGGGTTTAGACTGGCTGTGCTGACATGGCCAGCTGGCACCTCTGCAGAACCTGCACCTAAGCCTGCCGGGAGCCACTCAGCATCAAAGCCAGCTCACTTGCGTGTCAGTGATGCCCTGTCCCAGAACAGGAGTGCGGGCGAGCCTCCAGTTCTTGGAATACATCCAAGCTTTCCCAGGTTTCTTAGTTTGGACATTTTACATCTAGATTCAAGAGCATATCCCATTTCGTTTGATTCATAAAGTGAATTAGGGAAGTTTTGTCTTTACAGTGAAAACTCATAAATTCAAATTCATGGAATTATATGGGGCAAAGGTGTGTTATGTCTTCTTACTCCATTCAGGCAGCTTCTATAAATGAAGCTTTATGCTGTTCGGTAGGAAAAAGTAACTTCAAATGGTGAGACTCTTGGTTGTGCAAAGAATAGTGGTTGGGTCAGAGGCTCACTAGGCACCGGAGAGGAAGTCTTAGACATGACGTCAGGCCAGCGGATCTATCAAGAACAGCAGAAGTCAGTGGGCACAGACCACGCCCCTGCCCTCCCCACACTGACTGCAGAGTGGGCTTCAGATGGGTCAGTGGGGATGCTTGGAAGTTTCACCTCCTTACCTTTATTTCAGATCATCAGAAAAGCCCTTACCGAGGAAAAATGTGTCTCAACAAAAACATCGGCTGCAGACCTTGTGACAGAAACGGATCACCTTGTGGAAGATTTAATTATTTCTGAGCTGCAAACGCGGTTTCCTTCTCACAGGTGGGTATATTCATGGGGGAAAATACCCCATAGCACCCTGCCACATGCATAAGCAAAGCCAGGGTCCAGTAGAGGGAAGCTGTGCTGTGAGTTGGTGAGGGGCAGACACATAAAACATGAGGTTTATGGTCTGAGCCCTGATACTTCAATTGTCTGTTAACCAAACTGACCCTCATTTTCATCCTTTCGCTATTGTCATTGTGGCAGGGGGCATCTTGTTGTCAAAGCAGATGGAAGAAGAAGAAAGGCTGGGGCTGGGAATGGAGATGGCTTTTTATTTCACAGGACTAGAACTGATCCCTCATGTCAGGATACTACCTTACAAATATTGAAAAGGCTCTACCTTTTAAAGCATGCTCAGGGGGAGCATAAGCCACTTATCATATTTCTGGAGAAACCTAGTAGGGGAACAACCTACCCCACAAAGCCTGAGCAGTCATGTTCCCTGGCAGCCTCCTGCCTGCCCAGCCACCCCAGGCAGAGTTTCCCAAAAGGGTGGGGCCCCACGGCCACCATGTGCTTTGTGCACCTCTGCCAGCGGTCACTGATGTGATGGTTAACATTGTAGGTCAGCTTGGCTGGGCCATGAGTCTCAGTGGTTTGGTAGTTATATAATGATGTAGTCATCCTCCATGATGTGATCTGATGTGATCAACCAATCAGTTGTGAGGGGAGTTTCCTCAGGGGTGTGGCCTACATCCAGTATATGTATGGACGTTCTGGCAAAGCTTGCCTGCTTTCTCTGGATCCTACATCCAGCTTGTCATCATCTGACCTCCAGTTCTTGGGACTTTAGCCAGCAGGCTGCTGTATTGTCTGCTGATCTTAGGATTCATCAGCCTCCACAGCCTGTGAGCCAGCAGCCTGCTGTCTGACCTGCCAATCTTGGGTTTGTCAGCCCCTGCAGCTACACAAGTCAGGAGAAGTTTCCAGCCTGACACCTGACCCACAGACTTGGGACGTGCCAGCCTCTGTAACTTCATAAGCCATTTCCTTGAGATAAATCTCTCTCTGTGTATACATATGTATATATAAAACCCACTGCCATCGAGTCAATTCTGACTCATAGTGACCCTATAGGACAGAGTAGAACTGCCCCGTAGGCTTTCCAAGGAGCGGCTGGTGGATTCAAACTGCTGACCTTTTGGTTGGCAGCCAAATGCTTAACCACTGTGCCACCAGGGCCCAGTGTGTGTGTGTATACACACTTCACTGGTTTTGCTTCTCCAGAGAACCCAACCTATGACCTAAGACCCCCTTTGTCCAGGTGACAGCTGGGCACAGGGCCTGTTCTCTCCCCCGGATATGTCAGAGGGGCATGTTTGAGGATGCTACTCTCTTTTCTCTCTCTAGGGGCTCCTCAGGCCCCTCCTTTACCCCTGGAGTTCTCCAGAACATATTTTGCAAACCACTGCCTTGGAGGCAAGAGGTCATTTTCCTTCCTTATTTAGAATCATCTAAAGAGGTTGGATTCCTAAAACTGGAATACCAGTTATTGGATTTCTGGGTATAGATTTTTATAGCTGTCAGATTCCATGTTTATATGTACTTACATGGGAGAAATACACAAAGCAGCTGCCCTTGGCACCCATCTGGCATATGGCAAGACAAGCAATACAGACATGCTTCAGAGATATTGTGGGTTCAGTTCCAGACTACTGCAATAAAGCGAATATCACAATAAAACAAGTCACACAGATTTTTTGATTTCCCAGTGTGTATAAAAGTTATGTTTACACTGTACTGTCTTGTTAAGTGTGCAGTAGCATTATGTCAAAAAAAATGTACATACCTCAATTAAAAAATACTTTATTGCTAAAAAATGTTAACCATCATCTAAGCCTTCAGCGAGTCGTGATCTTTTTGGTGGTGGAGGGTCTTTCCTCCACCAGCAAAAAGATTATGTTGATGTTGATGACTGCTGACTGATCAGGGTGGTGGTTGCTGAAGGTTGGGTGGCTGTGGCAATTTCCTAAAATATGACAGCAGTGAAGTTTGCCACATCATTGATTTCTTCCTTTCATGAAGTTTCTCTGTAGCATACGATGCTGTTTGATAACATTTTACCCACAGTAGAACTTCTTTCAAAATTGGAGTCAGTCCTCCCAAACCCTGCCACTGCTTTATCAACTAAGTTTCTGTAATATTCTAAATCCTTTGTTGTCATTTCAACAATGTTCACAGCATCTTTATTTCACTTCTTTGCTCATCCATAAGAAGCAACTGCTCATCAGTTAAAGTTTTATCATGAAATTGCAGCAATTCAGTCATATCTTCAGGCTCTACTTCTTTTTTTTTTTTCCTAGTGATTTTCATCTTTTTTTTTTTTAAATTGTACTTTAGATGAAGGTTTACAGGACAAACCGGCTTCTTGTTAAACAGTTAGTGCTCATATTGTTTTATGACACTGGTTAACAACCCCATGACATGTCAGCCCTCTCCCTTCTCGACCTTGAGTTCCGTATTACCAGCTTTCCTGTCCCCTCCTGCCTTCTAGTCCTTGCCCCTGGGCTGGTGTGCCCCTTTAGTCTCATTTTGTTTTATGAGCCTGTCTAATCTTTGCCTAAAGGGTGAACCTCAGGAGTGACTCCATTACTAAGCTAAAAGGGTGTCCAGGGTCCATACTCTCAGGGTTTCTCCACTCTCTGTCAGACCAGAAAATCTAGTCTTTTTTTGTTAGTTAGAATTTTGTTCTACATTTTTCTCCAGCTCTTTTCAGGACCCTCTGTTGTGATCTCTGTCAGAGCAGTCGGTGGTGGTAGCTGGGCACCATCTAGTTGTACTGGACTCAGTCTGGTGGAGGCCGTGGTAGTTGTGGTCCATTAGTCCTTTGGACTAATCTTTCCCTTGTGTCTTTAGTTTTCTTCATTCTCCTTTGCTCCTGAAGGGGTGAGACCAGTGGAGTATCTCAGATGGCTGCTCACAGGCTTTTAATACCCCAGATGCTACTCACCAAAGTAGAATGTAGAACATTTTCTTTATAAACTATGTTATGCCAACTGAGCAAGAAGTTCCCCGAGACCATGGTCCCCACAGCCCTCAGCCCAGTAATTTGGTCCCTCAGGGAGTTTGGATGTGTCTGTGGAGCTTGCATTACCTTGTTCAGGCTCCACTTCTAATTCTGGTTCTCTTGCTGTTTCCACCACATCTGCAGTTACTTCTTCCACTGAAGTCTTGAATCCCTCAAAGTCATGAAGGTTGAAATCAACTTCTTCCAAACTGTTAATGTTGATATTTTGAGTTCCTCCCATGAATCATGAATGTTCTTAATGCCGTCTGGAATGACATTTCCAGAAGGTTTTCAATTTACTTTGCCCAGATCCATCAGAGGAATCACTGTGGCAGCTATAGCCTTATAAAATGTATTTCTTAAATAATAAGACTTGAAGGTTGAAATTACTCTTTAATCCATGGGCTGCAGAATGGATGTTGTGTTAGCAGGCATGAAAACAACACTAATCTCCTTGCACATCTCCATCAGAGCTCCTGGATGACCAGGTGCATTGTCAATGAGCAGTAATATTTTGAAAGGAATCTTTTTTCTGAGCAGTAGGTCTCAACAGTGGGCTTAAAATATTCAGTAAACCATGTCGTAAACAGATGTCTGTCACCCAGGCTTTGCTGTTCCATTTATAGAGCACAGGCGGAGTAGATTTAGCATAATTCTTAAGGGCCCTAGGATTTTCAGAATGGTAAATGAGCATTGGCTTCAACTTAAAGTCACCAGCTGCATTAGCCCCTAATAAGAGAGTCAGCCTGTCCTTTGAAGCTTTGAAGCCAGGCATTAACTTCTCCTCTCTAGTGATGAAAGTCCTAGATGGCATCTTCTTCCAATACAAGGCTGTTTTGTCTACACTGAAAATCTGTTGTTTAGTGTAGCTACCTTCATTAATTTTCTTAGCTAGATCTTCTGGATAACTTGCTGCAGCTTCTACATCAGCGCTTGCTGCTTCACCTTGCACTTTTATGTTATGGAGACGGCTTTTTTTCTTAAGCCTCATGAACCAACCTCTGCTAGCTTCAGACTTTTCTTCTATAGCTTCCTCACCTCTCTCAGCCTTCAGAGAATTGAAGAGAGTTAGGACCTTGCTCTGGATTAGGCTTTGGCTTAAGGGCATGTTGTGGCTGATTTGATCTTCTATCCAGATCACTAAAACTTTCTCCATTATCATCAGTAAGGCTGTTTTACTTTCTTATCATTCATGTGTTCACTGGAGTAGCACTTTTAATTTCCTTCAAGAACGTTTCCTTTGCATTCACAACTTGGCTAACTGTTTGGTGCAAGAAGCCTAGCTTTCAGCCTGTCTCAGCTTTCGACATGCCTTCCTAAGCTTAATCATTTCTAGCTTTTGATTTAAAGTGAAAGATGTGCAACTCTTCCTTTCCTTTGAACACTTAGAGGCCATTATAGGGTTATTAACTGGCCTAATTTCAATATTATTGTGTCCCAGGGGATAGGGAGGCCCAAGGAGAGGGAGAGAGACAGGCGAAGGCTGGTCAGTGGAGCAGTCAGAACACACACAACATTTATCAGTTAAGTTCACCATCTTATATGGGCACAGTTCGTGGTGCCCCAAAACAATTACAATAGTAACATGAAAGATCACTGATCATAGATCACCATAACAGATATAATAATATTGAAAAAGGTTGAAATATTGTGAGAATTACCAAAACGTGACACAGAGACATGGAGTGAGCACATGCTGTTGGAAAAATGGTGCTGATAGACTTGCTTGATGCAGGGTTGCCACAAACCATCAATTTGTAAAAAACAGTATCTGTGAAGCACAATGAAAGGAGGTATGCCGGCACAGTTTTCTTTTGTGAATGGTTTGGTGAACAGAAGGCAAGCTTGTGTTAGAACACGTCCATCCTTTTTCTCTTCTGTTACAAGGATGGCAAGACTTTGTCTCACATACTTTGGACATGTTATCAGGAGGGACCAGTCCCTGGAGAAGGATGTCAAGCTTGGTAAAGTAGAGGGTCAGGGAAAAAGA